TATACACAAACGCTGAGGGTAGATAAAACAAAATCATTTGAAAATTTTATAATTTTTTCATTAATTTTTTATTTAATTGATTATATATATATATATATATATATATATATATATATATATATATATATATATATTTGTGAATTTCATACAATTTTTGCTTAAAAAAACATGATTTATTATTTTTTAATTAGGGATTTTTAAACAAAAACTTGTAATAATTTAAACCTAAAATATTAATTAAGAATTAAAAAATAATTTAAAAAATATTTTTTTATAAGAATATATCCAAAAAATAAAGTTACAATTAATGTATAGATTTGCATAAAAATTAACTAATAAAAAATAAAATTTTTTTTAACATTGCATCGAAGAAACAAAATAGTAATGAATATGAAAAATTATATGAAAATTAACAAATGAAGCTTTTTCATTGATGAGAATATATATTTTTAAATATATACATTTGATTTATATATATTTATTTATAAAATAATGAATAATATTAGTATAAAAAATTATATTTGAATTATTAGACGAGTTATTCTAAAATATTATTTTAATTATTTTATTTAAAAAAATTAATTTTAAAATATTAAAAAAATAATACCAAATAGTTGATATTATGTGTAGATGCATAGTTGATTTCTCATAAAATCAATGACTCTATTATTATTATTTTTTATACATCATGACTCGTACTCGATGGGTAAGAATGTATGACATAAATTAAGAATTAAGGAAATAAAAACAGGTATAAAAAAAACTTATTCAAATCCATACATAAAGAAAATAAATCATATTTATTAATAAATAAAATTATATAAAAATAAGAATAAAAATTAATTTGATGTGAATTTTTATAATAAACTGAAAAGATCAATTTTAAACAATAAGAGTAGTATATATTTATTCTAAAACCTAAAAATGTATTTTATATATTATATAATCGTTAGTTTATGTGAAAAAAATAACAAATTGATTTTTAAAAATTTTAACACCTAGTTAAATAAAATAAAATATAAACATAAATTCATAAAAAAATCAAAGGAAAAAAAAACACTTTGTAGTAAATCAGCTACATTCTTCAGTATGCGTGAAACGTTTTTTCATCTTCTGTAATAAAAGGCCAATCAAAGACTAATCCAATAATCTCTGCCACACATTCCTCTATTATTATCTCCAGTAAAGTGAAAAAATGGAAGCTAAGAATTCAACCAGACCATGAACACTTGCTTTTTGGGCTCTCAGATAAGTGGCATGGGCAAAGAGAGGAAAGAGAGCAAGTTGAAAAAAAAAATTGTAAAAAATTACAAAAAGACTACATGATGAACAATGAATTAAGGTAAACGAACAAATAAATAAATAGTGTTTTACTGTTTATTTGCACTGAGATCTTTTAGTTATATAGAATGTTTTTTATTCGTTGTAGCTTGAAGTAACCAAGATATCTTAGTCCTATTCTGTCTTTCTTCAAAAGATTTTTATTTCTTCAAAAGATTTTATTTATGTTCCATTCGATTTTTAAAGCTCACATTCATTTTTAAAATACTCAAATCTCTATCCACTTCTATAGAATTTGAACGTGAGCCTTATAGTAGAAAATCTCAAAATCTTGAGATATCTAGTGAAAATCCCAAATGCTGGAACAATATATCACTCAAACTAAAGATTCATAATAATGTTATATAGAGATGATAATGAACCAAGTATAAAATAGATATCCGTTTTATCCGATCCAATAAATATTCATTAAGAATGTTCAATGAGTATTGAAACGAGATAAAGGTATAAAGATACACACTCTCTAATATGATTTTAGGATATGAATATCCATTCTTTATCCTATTAATATCCACTAATTTATTTTAAAATTTTTTTATTAACATGTAGGGATCTAATTACATAAAATTTAAAATTTAAGGATCATAATATTTTTTTGAAAACTTTAAGGATAAAAAAAACTTATAAATAAATGACCAAAATGGAAAAAAAAATTGATGATCAATTTTTTTAAAATTATAGGAATTAAAATAAATATTTTTAACAAATTAAATTTAGCGAGTATATAATTGATACTAAATTGACGGATAAATTAATATGTGCGGGATACTGAACTGGATAAAAATTTATATGGTGAATTTTTAACTTCGTCCTAAACAACAAAGAAACTTCATTCCAATTTAAATTTGTGCAGTAAGAAACATTTATTTTTTTGATGGACTCATGAAGTTCCATTAATTATTCTAATTAATGTTACGTGCGGTGAGTTATGCATTTGCGCATAGAAGTTCTTCCTGCAAATGCTGAACGACGCACCCCGGAAGTAAGCACAGGGGAATTGAGTATGTACGAACAATGAATTCATTGCTAAAGCTACCAATCTAGCATGCATGAATGCTTGGATGAGCTAAGAAAAATTAATGTTTCTCAAACTTATACAACTCTTTCATTCTCAAAATAGGAATGATTAAGCTACTCGTTTTAACGTTGTTAAGGTAACGTGGTACCTCTGGTCTTCATTCTAGGGGGTCGGCGTTCTCTCTCCATCCTATACTTGTGTATACATGGTTATCAAAATCAATGACATTAATTACTATCTGCAGAAGTTATCAATCGCTTGCACATGAAACCATCTAGGTTGAAGCTAATTATAGAACTTCTGTGATTTTGAATAATTAATAATAAGAAAGCAAGACTATGTTTGTTAGGAGGGATGAATTGAAGGAAGCAGAAGGACGAGAAGGAGAAATTATGGATGAGTTTACAAGAAATGAAAAAACAAGAATCAATTTTTCCAAATTAAAAGCATTGAAAATTATAAATTAAAATAAGAGAAGGATATGAATCAATTAATCTAAATTGAAAGGATTGAAAATTACAAATAAATAAAGAATGTAAGGATTCTTCCACTTTTTCATTCTACCAACCAAAGTATACTTCCATTCCATCCCCTCTCATCCTTCTTTCCTCCAATTCTTCATAACAAACACACCTTAATCAATTAATAGTTAAGGAAGTACGATGAGCCTTAAGCCTTCAACCTAAAAGCTCGAATTTTAGACATCAAGTGGGAGTTCTCATGTTTAAAGTTCAAACTTAGTTGTTTTTTTTTTTAAATTTATTAAAAGTTATAGATTTTTGAGTTACACAGTAGAGAATAGTTCTCTCGTCACATAATCATTAAAAAAATTTAAAATTATTAAAATTCAAATTTTATCTCATTAAAAAAATTAATTAGAAACACAATCATTAAATTAAATCTACCTGTGTAAACTTAGTTGTTTAAACAAATAAAATAAAATAAAATAAAATAAATATTTCTCTTGTAATTTTGGCAAAATATAATGGGTAATTGTTTTCTTTAGACTTTTGAATGACATTCTTCTTTTCACTTATTTTTGTTATACAGTAGTGCGCTTAAATCTCTTGGCACCGCAATAAAACAGTACCGTGAAGTAAAGTTTTTAGTTTTTTCTTCTTAATTACCTTTCTGCCACCTACGTCGCTCTTAATTTTTGCATCATATATTCCAACTTGCAAGTATATGGTTAAATGCAAATGCAATGTTGGAATATTCTCTCTCTGTTTTAACAAGACTGTAGATTTTTTTATTTATATATGTTACAAAACATTTGTTTAGTTAAAATCTTAAGTAGTATATATATATTTTTAAAATATTTCTAATTAATATTGATTCATGTCATATACAATTATTTTTGATGATTAATAATTTTAAAAAATATATATTTTAAAAAAGTATAAAAAATACTAAAATGACATAACAACTAATAACTTTTTTAATCTATATATATATATATATATATATATATATATATATATATATATATATATCAAAGATGACAATATCTTAAGAATAAAAAAAGGTATATTTTTTATATTAAAAGATTTGAGCTAAGAGTAATTCCACAAATTAATGATCACACTCGAATTGAAAAGAATTATTCTATCATTGACGTCTGAAAGTACATGTTTTTCTGAAAAAACTGTCAAACATAAAGTCATATGACTGACATACATAGATATAGCAATTGGTTTAGCAAAACTTCTTGTTTTAGAACACTGACTTAATATGAATACTAATTAACATATTATGATGATCGAAATGTTAGGTGAGTTTCAAACTTGGAACGAATTGCATTTTTACCATTAAACTATATCCGTTATGATGCGATCATGGTGTGTAAATAAGTTTTTTTTTTTTTTTTTGTAGAGTAAGAGAATTAATTAATATGAATATTAATTACCATATTATGATGATAAAAATGTTAGGTGAGTTTCAAACATTAATTCCTACAGTTGACCAGTAATTAGAGAAGATAAAGAAGAAGATAGATATAGCGTATTCAGACTTCTAATTAACATTAATTTCTTCTTGGACAGATCTGCAATCCCAGTTAGAGAAGTTTTAAGAATTTAATACTAGTATATAATCAGAGTAGGAGTTAAAAGACAAACAGAGAGGGGTCAAGAACCAATACCTGTAGCAAGTTGTAATCTGACATCCCTTAACAGGAGTAGGTACGGGGGTAGCTTGATCTATGTCATGGCTCTTTAATACTATTTATTACCTTAGGCAGTTAATTTACTGCGGTACCCTCGCAATCCAACCGGTTCGTACCATGTTGATTGATTGTAATTTCGCTGATGATCGATGAATGTTTAACTTCTGTGAATTCTTAAGGTATTTTATTTTTGTGGCTGGAACTAGACCTAGGCAATAGCATTTATTTCTCATGAATGCAAATTAAAATCTTTTCCACTGACTCATTCAGGGATTTCATTAGATTTGGTCGTAAAAAGCACTTCAACTTAACTATTACGAGGAAACCAAAAAAGGCCCCGGGACCGTTTCGTACTTTTGTCAACGGCAGTCAAGATACAATACACAAGGCAGACAACCGTTGAAGAGAACTATTTAAGTAGGGCTGTTGTCTGTTAAGGTACAAAGAAGAAGAAGAAGAAGAAGAAGAAGAATCAAAATGGATCAGGAGTCATCAACAAGGAAGGAGATACAAGGAAGCGTTGTTCAAATCTCTTATACAACTTCCTGTTTTGTTGAAGCTTATAATGCTCTTCTAAAGTGCCTGGGATTGGGTGAAAGAAGGCCCCGAGAAAGCTCATCAACTTCAAGTTCAGAGAAAGAAGATGATGAGAAAGCTTCTGAAGAAAGCCCACAAGATCCTCCTCCAGCAACAGCTACAGACCCACCAGCTGATCCTCCCACAGATAACTCTGTAATCTCTATCTCTCTATCATACACACGCAACACTCACAACTCTTATGTCTGAACATATATAAATATAATTAACCAGATCACATTCATTTTTTTAAGACATAAAATTTGAATCCCTTGCTGCCAAATAAAGCCTAGATGAGTGGACAGGTCCACAATCCACGCGTTGAGCAAATCTAACTAGGTTTTTGCCCTAGCTAGCTACCTTATGAATCCAACCTCTGAAATGTGACTTTATCACATATTCGTGTGATATTAACTTTTTTCGCGTCTGTTTTGAGCTATACAAATGTGGTTGTTTCTGAATTCTCATATCGCCATTATGAGATCTCCTAATAAAAATTCCAAACACTGGGATAGAGTGACATTATATTTCATCACTCAAACTAAAAATCGTAACTTTCTCTTCATTCCAAATTAAATTTGTGTAGCATCAATAATCTATTTTTATTATATGGACTTATGATTATTAGTTCAAGAATTAATGTTTTGTGTGATTTGTTATGTGCTTATAGGAAGATCCTGCTACAGATGCTGTAAGCACTCTTAGGAGGCGGACTCCACCAACAAGCAGTGGTGGAGGTGGGCAGATTAATTCCAGCTCATCTTAATTGAGTCTCTCGAGCTCAAAGATCTGTCGGTCACACCAAGCTTGCTTGGCCAACTTCAAAAACATCTTCACTGTAGATTACGTGAGTTCTAGTAATATTTATTGTTTGTACTGCTTAGGATAGTCTCTCTCTCTCTCTCGGGTGACATGCATCTGTGGTTGCAATATGGATAGGTCTGTAAATATTATGCCAGTTACACATCTATGAATATTACATATGTTAAGGTTCGTATTTAGGGGCTTTTATTTTCAGACAGCAAATAAGCGGTGGTGGAGGCGGGCAGATTAATTCCAGCTCATCTTAGTTGAATCTCTCGAGCTCAAAGATCTGCCGGTCACACCAAGCTAGCTTGCTCAACTTCAAAAGCATCTTCACTGTAGATTACGTGAGTTCTAGTAATATTCATTGTTTGTACTGCTTGCGAGGATACTCTCTCTCTCTCTCTCTCTCTCTCTTGGGTGACATGTGTCTGTGGTTGCAATATGGATAGGTCTGTAAATATTATACCAGTTACACATCTATGAATATTACGTATGCTAAGGTTCGTATTTAGGGGCTTTAATTTTCAGAAAGCAAACCCTTACTGATGGAAGGGGTGAAGTATTTGGAAGGTTTAATGGACTTGTTTGTAGTTAGGATCCACAAAGAGTGACTTATTTTGGAATTATTAATTGATAGTGAATTCCTGCAACATCATAATTGCACACATGACACATTCAGCATCTGAGAAGTTCGCAACTTGCATGCATTAATGGAGTCAAAGCTACCGATTCTCTTCTCTTAATTACCACATGACTTACTTCCTTCTTGAAGTCTTAAAAGGAAAAAATAAAATAAAATGAAGAAGTCTTCTTCGCTAAAGATACGCGCAAGTCTTTCATTAAAGTTGAAGCATATATTAATTAGACCCAACTGATCTACCATTAAGTCCGTGCATAGCTTGTTCAGATCGATCTTTTACTGTAAACGAGATAAGATTAATCTAATAAAGAAAAGGCTTAAGGCCTAATTAAGCAGTGCTGAGGCTATAAAATGCCTAGCCAAAATCAGGATGCCACAGGCAAAGCTACAAACAATGAACTGCGCAGACAAAAACCCAACAGAACTATGAAAGTCGCAATCAAATAAGTCTTTTTTTTCCTAAACTTATCATATTCTTTTTACATGTAGAAATTAGTAAAAGAGGAGTTAAATCCAGTTAAAATAATAAGTAGGAGGAAAAAAATTATTGTATTGACGTGTTCTTGCTAATTATATACTATAAGAGTAACAAGAGATATGTACTCCTAACTTCCTAACTTATACGATCCATTAGCAACAAACTAAACAATAAATAAGTTACATAATACGTATTTATAACAAACTTTATCGGTTAGTAGATCGTTCTAGTATAAGAAAAGGCAAAAGATTTGCTTTTACACCCTCTCCTCAAGCTTAGGAGGTCTTCACACCAACCTAAGCTTCTTTCTTATTTATAGAAAGCATGTATTACTGAGTAGTTTAGTGCGTATGTGTATGTGTATATATATGAACCAACTGATCTTGTAAAGTGATGTATTACATTTTCAATTTTCCCTTAAGCAACTTGTGCTCTGATGAAATAGAAATCCATATCTATGTGTTTGGTGCGTGCTTTAAATATTAGATTTGTAGATTAGTAGACTATCCCCATATATCACACAAAACAATAAAGGGATTTACAATGGCTTATCCCACCTTAGCTAACCATGACTTGTTAGGAACTCAAGAGCAACAACAACAATAATAACTAGTTGGTGAAAGTAATCCTAATAAATTTTTTTTGACTATCGGGTAAAAGTTAACTTTTTATTCTCTATATTTACCTTTTGTTATCTAATTTTTGTAACCGACTATTTGTAACATTAATTATATAGAGTGTTTCAACCCCAAGTGATACATCGGAGAAAAACACAACTTTCTAAGGAATCTCTTATATTCAATTTGCTATTATATATAGCCTTGAAGGCAAAGTCTGTCGTACCCTTTTTCTTCATTTCTAACACTATGATTTTTTTTCTTTTTCTTCTCAACCTTACTTATGACTAGTTCAATTAACACTTCTACTACAACAAACACCAAATTAGCTTCAAACTGCAATCTAATTAGTTAGTTAACAAATGCACATCACTTCATTCTCTTAAAACTCACTTCAACACACTTTCTATTCTAGTGTGTTTAGATGAGATCCTTTTTAGTTAGGCAAGGACCTTTTGGATTTTAGATAGATCAAACTCTTTATTGAGTTATGAAGACCGATGTGGATAAAATCCTGTAGTATAAGACGTTATACGGATCCAACACGATGGTCTCGCTAACCAATTAGCAAGCGAAGGTCAAAGGGGCGACGGCTTATGCAAGGGCTCGAGGGTGGAGCTTCGAAATTTCTATAGAATATTAGGCTAGATGTATACCCCCGTTAAGTTTTTTCTTATAACCTTAATTGTTCATACTATAAATAGAAGCGACATCACTTGATAAACTCTAATAAGAACTCCTAGTGCAACCGTGCGGTAGGCAACATTGTTGAATCACGTAAAATTTTTGTATTATGTGATCGTGTTTGTCTTTCTACTATATTCTTTTGCTTGATTTATTTCCTAACACTTTTATCGCTTAATCACATTGTCTCAACAAAAATATGCGTGTCTCAAGTAAATCTCTCTCACCATGCTTGGGTTTAACAAAATTAATTACTTAAGAGCACTTTAATAGTGTCTCTTTCCATTGAGGTGTTGCCTATGATTATTGTCCGTACCATTTCATGAGATGTATGGATTGTGCTAGAAAATATCCTCGCCTCTTTCTCTAGTACACGTATAATGACCTTGTATTGACTATACCATTTCATGAAATGTATGGATTGTGTTAGAAAATATCCTTGCCTCTTTTTCTAGTACACGTATAATGACCTTCCATTTAATGTTGAAAAAAATTACATCAAGAGCCTACTCAATATGTTTCTTAATATCTTTGATGAATAAATTCCTATAGTGATGAACTCATTATTGTTGAAAAGCCTCTCCAAGTAATTGATTTTAACTTATACGTGTTTAAAGTATTGACATGATATTCTAAAAACCTTTATCCCTATCTTGTGTACACGATTAATAAGTATTCTTGAACTTCATATCCTACGTTTTAATCATGGATTTATGAACGAGAGAATCCTAGCTTGATTCCTTCTTTAGTGTTGGTATGCTACTCACTCCATTAATAACTAATCTTACTTAAAGAGTAAACGAGTAGAAATCGGGAGAGGTTTGATAATTTTCAACGTGAAAAAGGTAGAAATTTCTATAGAACAAGATGTGGCCAATATACCAATAAGTATAACAATAATTCTAGAGTTCAAAATTGAGGTAGTCAACCTCAAATGGAGACTAAAACTAGGTTTCAACTTTGCATATTCTAGAATCACATAGCTTTACATTGTTCTCAATGGTACTATTTTAAATCCAATTAAAATAATATGTTAGAGGGAAAAACTTTATTGTATTGATGTGTTCTTGCTAATTATATACTATAAGAGTAACAAGAGATAAGTATTCCTAATTCCCTAAATAATATAATCATAAAGTAACAAACTAAACAATAAATAAGTTACATATAATACATATTTATAATAAACTTTATCGAGTTGGTAGACTATTGTAGTATAAGAAAAGATAAGAGACTTGCTTTGACACTTTTTCCTTAAGCTTAAGAGGTCTTTGCACTAACCTAAGTTCGTTTCTTATTTATAAAAAAAATGTACTAGAGAATGGTTTACTAAATGTATGTCACGACTCGGGAGTGGGCCATGATCGACATAAGAATCAAGGAAATCGTGAGGTCGACCTCGACCCAAGCAAGCTTCGGATACTAAACTAAAATCCTCAAATCATTATCACTTTCATTATTATTTCAATTAGCATTATTATAACTTAATAAACATTTCTTCAACTTTAATACAATTCATAATTCTATGTTATTCTCATTTCAATGACCAAATTAACATTCATAATCAAATTTCAATACTCTACCTATAACTATAATCGTAGAGCTTCTAAAAATATAATAAATCATAACATACATAGGCTCTAAGGAATTACAAGGGAATAAGTCGCACGATCAAAGTGCCAATTTCATAAAAAGTATCCAAAAGGAAGCAATAGGCAATTCCTCAATAACTTCTAAAACTGAAATAATAAGGGGTGAGCAATTAATAACTCGGTGAGTAAATATTATCTAATATACTAAGGGAGAGAAACGGACCAAGGATGATATTCTCAAATCTATGTCAAAATGCAATGCTAATTTCTCAAAACATATGCATATCAAACACATATCTCATATCACAATTTAAATAATTCAAAACCATTTCATATCAAATTATCGACATATTTGTACATACAAATATCATACTCATATGAAAACACATATATAAGTTTTTTATACACCCGTGGGATAATAACGTATCTTTGGGTGCAAACACCTAAAGGCCCAAAGGTCATGCCCCTCATGATTAGGTTTTTGCATGTTAGACAATACATGGTCTAGCACTACACCGCTCCTGCTAGATAGAGCCTCTTATCATTGAACTTAAAGGCTACCCCTAGTAGTTAGGTTCCTTAGGATCTCGAAAATATTTTTGAAAACCAAATATACTTATACATTTTTCATTTTAAATACCATGCATGAATTTTCAAAAATCATATGAATACTCAAAATAATGAACGTAAAATATTCATGTTCAATTTCAAAAACACGTATCAAAATCGTTAACACATTTATTCAACATATTAAAATCCTTTTTTCTATTCATATCAAATCATTTCGATACGAAAACATTTTAAATATTTAAGGAGTTTGTTCCCATCTAAGTTGTAATGGAATGTTTCTAAATCATTCATAATCAATGATGCATGATGGATAAAATTCAAAAAACTTAAAAAAAATACATTATATAATATCCACTCATAGTATAATTTGAAGAACCA